GTGTTGGATGTCTTGCGCGCGGCGGCGCCCCACGGGAGGAAATACATCATGAAGACGATCGGGGTGGACGACGCCGTGCGCGGGGATTTGACCCTCCTCCCGAAGAAATGCGAGCGCGAGACCGCGGAACACCTCGCGGCGCGCCTCAACATCTCCGGAGATGCGCCGTGGATATTGCAGGAGTTCATCCAGGGGCGGGAATACTGCACGCACGCCCTGGTCGTGGCGGGCAAGGTCAAGGCCTTCGTGGCGTGTCCGTCGGCCGAGTTGCTCATGCATTACCAGTCACTTCCTGCCGAGTCGCCCCTGAGCCGGGCGATGTTGGCGTTTACTCAGACATATGCGGCGAGCGGCGGCCGTGGGTTTACAGGCCATTTGTCTTTTGACTTCATGGTGCGTGAGGACCAACACGGAGGAAAGGACGGGAGGGGCAATGTCGATCCGCGAGATATCGTGCTTTACCCGATCGAATGTAATCCGCGGGCGCACACCGCGGTGGTGCTGTTCAACGGACGCACCAGCACCAGCATCAGCACAGCTGCCACGGCAATGGTCCAGGCATATCTCTCCATCTTCGAGGATGTGGATAATCACCACCTCAACCGCACCGCCGATTCGAGCATTGACATAGTTCGCCCCGTCGCACAAGACAAATATTTCTGGACAGGCCACGACCTGGTCACCCTGGTTCTCCTGCCGACCTTGTCGCTGTTCCCTGCGCTGTTCTCTGGCCTAGCCTCCGTTCCCGTTTCCAGATCCGGAGCCCCCTCCAGCACCGACAGTGGTATTCGTGCATCGATCACGCATCTCACCCAAAACTACACACTCTTCCTCCACCGCCTCCTCACGTGGAGAGACGGCACGTACGAGCCCTGGGACCCCCTGCCCTGGTGGTGGCTGTACCACGTCTACTGGCCCGTGCGGTTCTGGGCCTGTCTCCGCGACGGGAGGAAGTGGAGTCGCATCAACGTGAGCACGGCCAAGATGTTTGAGTGTTGACAACAAGTTCCCTCGTCAGGGACTATCGTCCGGGGAATAAATAGGAAGGAGGGGGGAAAGGGGGCCGATGCGGTGGGAGAGAAGACCTCGAAAGAGCTGGAGAAAAGGGGAGTGAAGCAGGATATGGAGAGGCGAGTTAAAAAAAAAAACAAAAAAAATAGGCGTAAGAAAGGAGGAAGATAAGACGGGGTCGTCTGCTCTTCAATGGTAGGATAAGGCCGAGTCGGGGCTAGTAATAGCCCCATTAATTAGCCAGCCACAGCAGCTCAATATTGAATGTTGATTATGTGAATATATTTCGATGAGATGGATTTTTCGAGTTTGGCAGATAAATGGAGAACAATGCTCACCCGTAAAGCAGGGGGTATATATATCGTCAACAAATCTCTCCGAGTGGCCTAGCCTGGCCTGGTCCGTCTTTGCAATCGATCCCTGGGCTCGTTCGATAACTCCTGAAGGGTGGTAGACGGGGGAAGAATAGAGAGAGATGAATCGGAGAGAGGATGTGCGTGTGCACGGCTCAAACGACACCGCCGCCGCCACCACCACCTTTTCGATCCCTCTTCAGACCCAAAAGCCACCCTACCCCCTCGACCACATCTCTCATCCTCCTCGTGGACATGTCCAGGTCCGGAAACATGGCCCACCAACAGTGCGCCCACCCACTATACAGATCCAGCCTGGTCGGAACGTCGCATTCTTCCCGCAGGACCTTCTCGTAGATCAGCCCGTCGTCCCTGGCCGGGTCGAGGCCGCAGACCTGGAAATACGCTGGTGCGAGACCGAGATGGCCGTGTTTGACGGAGCCCCTTTGGTGACCTGCATCCGTCCCCTTACCATCCACGTCGCGAGGATCGTGTTGGTCGAACGGGTAGCACAGCTTCGAGGCCGGGTCGGGCTGGAACGCCTCGGTCAGCAGCGTCAGGAGGTGTCGGTCCAGGATCGGGGCGTTTGCGTTTTGCTCGCGGCTTAGATAGCGTGGTTGGTACCGTTCCGGCACGCGACCGGGCGAGATGTATGTGCCTGCCATCAACACTTGTCCCGTCAGCGGAGGGTTCAGGTTGTGGTCCCGCGCCAGGTGGGCCAGCGAGGCGGCGAGGTTGGCGCCCGCGCTCTCGCCGCCGACCAGGAACCCCACGCGCGCGTCAGTGCAGCGGGGGAAGATGGCCGAGTTGGACTTCCTGTTCTCAGTGGCGCAGAACTGCAGCACCTCCCACGAGTCGCAGATGGAGAAGGGGAAAGGGAACTCCGGCGCCAGACGATACGACGCGCACACCACCACGGCCGAGTGGGCCAGGACGAGCTCCCTCGCCAAACTCAGCTGGAGCTCTGGGTAGCCGATGGTATGGCCGCCGCCGTGCAGGAGGAGGATGAGTGGTCGCGCGGGCCCGGCAGCTTTCAAGTCCGCGGTCAGATGGCATACGATGATGCGGCAGGGCCAGTCGTCGCGGAGTCTGATCGAGTGTTCGGTCTCGGTGATCTCGCTCGGCCGCGAGTCTGCGAGGCGTTTCTGAAGCGGTCCAAGACCGGCCGCGGCGCTTTGCTTGATGTCTGAAAGCGTGTAGTTCGACCCGGCTTGGAGTTGGCTGGCTTGCAGGGCAGCGGAGAATGTTGGGTCGACGGTCGCTGTGGCGAGGATGTCCTCGATCGTGTCAAGGCGCGGTGACGGCATCTTCTACCCAGAGCTGTGGTGGCGGCGTGTAATGACTGCCCAGTGGAAGCTCTTGACGAGGAGGTAATGTTGGAGGGGTGGTATTTGTTGTTGTTCCCGGCGACTCAGCAGCTGCTGTAGAAAATGGCAATTCTGTCTCCCCAGCTTTCCACACAAGACGGCTCAAAGGACAGGACACCTTTTGAGCCCAACCCGATGCTCCTCCAGAGCTCGTCGTAGCCAATGTCCCTCTCTGTGTTGCCGTATGAAGTGCCTTCTTCAACCCAGCCACCCTGTCACAGTCCCACGTAGTGACACTCGTACTTTCAGCGAGTCAGTCCTGCCCTCGGTGTCATATACCCGTGGTGCACCACAGCCACCGAGCGTGCGCACTCCTTAGTCCGTTCTCGGTCAACGTCTACAGGAAACACTCCACCAGCTTGTCCTGTTCAGAGCCCATTCATAATTCCTCGTATCAACGGGCACGCAGTTTTTCCGAGGCCAAATGACCGGGGTAATGAAGAAGAGATCTCTCTTGCAGGTCCGGACTTTTGCCTCTCTTTTCGAAAACAACTCGGATTGCGAGACCCGCCAATTAACGCTGGGACAGTTACATCGAGACGACGGGGCCCGAAAATAGGATGCTCCCGTGCAGCACAAAAGGAGTCCGAAGGCGTTTGACGTACCAACGTACGAGGTACTCAGCTCGTTCAGTAGGCGAGGCAGCGGAGGGGCGGAAAGGGGCGGAAGCTTTGCTTGGCAAACCCTTTAAGATTTGGTCCAGCCTGATCCAGCCTGTGGCCCTTTTTCCACTCCTTGCTTACTCGTTACACTTAAAAAATGCGCATGTTCTGTCAAGTAATACTCGGTACCTCATAGTGCTCAATCAGCGCTTCTACAATATATCCACTTTTGAGCGGTACCTCAATTCCCAAGATCTCTTTACTCATCTGCTTTACCTCAGATTGCGATCATGACGAGTCAGTTCGCAGATCGGAAACGGTCCGGCGAGATCCTAGGTGTGGCACCTCCATAGACTGACCGTAGCGCTCGTGGTGCGAGCAAGAGACGAGCCCGTGCGCTGGACGCGTCAGCTATTGACGACCGGATCCTGTAAGCTAAAAGACCTTGAATGAGTCAAAGGGTGTTGGGGCCATAACTGGGCCTCTTCTCTAGCTCTTCTCGCCTTCAAGCTCAACGCGCTCCAAGAACCTTCCTATATCTTACGATTCAGAGCTGCCGCGGGTGTTCGCTGCGCCGGCAGGGGCGGGATATTTACTCGCCAATTGCCTAGTGTCGTACGTCCTTCAGTCTCTACTTTGAAAGTCCTCGAGTAACTATTCCGCGTTTGGGGGCAGCGAGGCTCCTCTGGCCCGTGCGTCGAGGTATATCGTTCGTGTGATGGTCATAGACACCGGCTGGCGGCGAGACATTGCACGGAGGCAAACACAAAGTTCCAAGGTTTGCGCGTGGTACAGGTTGTGTGCTGTTTTCGTTGCGATCATTTCTTCGACCATTGCGTAGGTAGGTGACATACTACGCTATGTCCACATATTGGCCATGATCGAGGATCCGTGCGCTGGCAGGTAGATTCTGCAAAGCCACGCCACCTTGAGACAGGACGTGATGCCGACCTCCGAGGCCCGCTGTTGCATGGGTGGCAAAGCATCTATCGCAAGTTGCTTGAGATACAAAATTTGACGAAGAACCATGACTTGGAAACATGAATTTTGACGTGCATGCCAGTGATTGAGCTGGCGCCAATAAGTGCACCGGCGTCTGACCTACTGGTGAGTGAGCACAGCAGCCGACGAAGTCTCTCTTGGTTGGAGATGACCCGGTAGTGTGCTGAGGGTTGAAGACAGCCGGTCGGACGGCAGTATGGTAATCTAGTGGTTTGTAGAGCCATGAAGCAAAGCCAACTCAGAAAGTCAAGCTGGTTCGAAGAGAGAAGAATGCAGCAAATAGAGTAGAGGAAATGGGTTGAGAACCGTCGGGAGATGATAAGAAGACAGACGGGTCGAGATGGCCAGGAGAGGAACTGTTGGCCTCCACGATGGACGATAGAGATGCAGGAAGAATGGGTGGCTCTTGATGGACATTGTCTCGAGGCCACTCTTGATCGTCCAGCGTCTTTCCGACGACAATCCCAAACCACCCTTACAACCAGGCACGAGCCAATGAGTGTGTCAGATGTAATCTGAACCCCCAGAACTCGTAGATATTCCATGCCTTTATTATCCTCGTCAAGATCGTCCTTTTCGTGCCGTGACATGTTGTCATGCCTTGTTCTATGTAAACAGGAGCACAAATGTAGGATTTTATACGTAGCCTGCAGGTGTCCACAATATTAGTCGCTTTGCCGTGTCAAGTCAACGAGCAATAACTCACCTTTCCTCGCTCCCTGGAAGAAAAACCTGACCACCAATACCTGTAGTCCAGCCATGCCGACCATCATACAGACCTCGATCAGACTGAAATTGAAGATGCGCTGTTCCGTACTCCTGACAGTGCTGAAGTTGCGGTTCTCTCTCGTACGGAAGTACTTTTGCATTCTGCTGACTGTACTCAGCTGTCCACTAATCTTGAAAACCAAATCTTCCAGTGCAGAGGTCTGTTCGGGTGTCGAGCCGGCTTTTTGTGGGAGGAGGGCGGATTTGGATTCGTCTTCGACCTATACACCCCATGCATGAGTTGTCTACTCTTCAGCCCAGGGGAGGAGCGGTGACTTACAGCAACCTCAAAATCGACCATCTTGTCTGCGAACGTCGACATCTCATTGTTGAAGCAGACACGGTACTCGCCCGCAGTCTGCGCAGTAAAGACAAAGTCTCCCTGTCTCTCCTTTTCTCCGCTCATTATTTTTCTGTCATTGGGCCCATACACCTCGTAGTCGATATCGAACGAGCCGCCGGATTGAACCTAAATGCATTAGTGATAGTTCTGTGCCAACGAATCCCAGATGGGAACATACTGCGAAATAGAAGGCGACTTTGGCACCTGGTCGCTCGACATTGCTGAAGAAACAGGCCTTCTCGTTGGCGGCAAGTTTATATGTCAGAGCAGTGCTGTACACTCTGGCAACAGCCAGTGCCAGCAGGCTGAGAAAGACGGAATGCAATCGCATGGCTGATCAGATATTAATGCCAATGCAAGTAAGAAGGAATCCAAGATATAAACTCAATGGCACGCGAGTCTGGACCAAAAATTCCCGAAAAGGGGCACAAGTTCGCGTCCGCAGGTGAAATCTTGGCTGGCGACACGTTGTTCGGAGCGAATGGCGCCGCTTTTTCAATGACGTCGAGCAGTGCTTACGCTAACCATATATGATGGTATACTATTAGAGCGGCATCAGAGAACTTCCCAGCCCTTACCACCACATAACACATATCATTCCGTCCTTGCTACAGTAAGAGACCTGAATAACGAGAGTTTGATATTGCTTGGACGTGGACAGGTATTTGACTCAACTTCTGTCGACTACATATCAGAAATCACAAGCAACAGCAACCTTTTCCATGTTGTCAGCGATCTTGATGTATTCCTCTGCTCTCTTCCTCATTCCGCCCAAGGACTCCATGCCTAACGGCATTCTCAGGGCCATAGGAGTAGACGACGGCTCCAAAATCTCCTTCACGATGGCCTCAGCAGTCTTCCTCGCATCCTGCGGCGCTCCTTCGTCTAGACCGGCAATCGCCTGCATCACATACTCCGTGGGGGTTCCCTTATAAGCGTCTGCAAGGATCGGCATCTTCATCTTCTTCTGGTCAAAAAACTTGGTCTTCATCGCTCCTGGTTCGGCAATCAACACTCTGATATTAAAGGTCGACAATTCGGTGGCTAGGGCCTCGGATATGCCCTCGATGGCAAATTTGGATCCGGCATAGACGGCGGCGCCAGGAGGGGGATTCCAGTTGACTGCACTGGAGATATTGATTATCACCCCAGAATGTCGGCTTCTCATGGACGGAACGAGTGCTTGGATGATGCGGATGGGTCCCCAGAAGTTCGTCTCAAACATTTGGCGGGCCTTGTCTAGGCTGTTGAAAAGGAGTTGCAAATCAGCAATCTTTGGCTCACTGCGCCCAGCTGTGGTCGAGATAAGGCACAAAAATTGACTTACTCCATCATCTCCAAAGGTGCGCCATCTGCATACCCGGCGTTGTTTACCACAACGTCTACAGGCCCGTGCTTCTTGACAATGTTCTCAATGTCATTCTCAAGGCTTGGACTGGACACGTCCAATGTCGCCCAAACACCACCAAGTTTCTCAATATCGGCAATTGCATCAGGAGAGCTGGCCGGATTGCGGGATGTGGCGATGCATTTCTGCCCAGCCTGAAGAGCTGCTCGGGCGATCTCGAGGCCTAAGCCCGTGCTGCAACCTGTAACAAGCCACTGCATATCCGCCAGTATCGGTTGGATCGAATCTGTATGCCGATTGGGAGTGTCGGGGTATGTTATGTTATCGACGGTGAGTGCTTTGGGCGTGATTGCCTGGCTTGAGAGGAATAGACTCACGGGGAATCTATACGTATATATACTCCCCCAGGTAAGTGCCTAACAACAGTATTGCCAACGCTGCGGCCGTAAACCTTGGCCCATCTCTCTTCCCCCGCTCTATGGCTTACCAGATGCTAAAAGAGAAGGCATTCTGGCGCATCTCAATATCGTTGGCAAAGTTGAACCGATACTGGCTGCTCGCCCCAAAATGTCCGAAAGTGGCAAAGCAAGAAGCCACAACCGGATGAATAGACGAGCCGAAACCAACAAGAGTTGCTTATTCTAGCAAAAGCACCGCCCAGATTTTTTGACTGCGTGGACCAGTATTCATATCATCACGTCGTCTAATTCACACTCTTTAACGCTGCGTATTATTTCTGCCTTTCCTCACGGCCGAAAATACATACCAGGCACCAGGTTACTCCGAGGCTTGATAGCGCCTAGCTCTGGCTAGACCTGGTGTCGGGCGCTGACACCCACAAACCCGAGTACGGCTACACATTGGGAATAGTTCATGAGAATCAATATACTTGCTGCTCCACTCTCTCGGAGATGACTGGGGCTTTGATAAGAGATTGCGGACTTGTGCATACCCTCTTTCGTTACATTTGTCAGTGGTTTGTGCTGCATCTGTCCGCATAAGGAGTCAGTCATTCAGCTGGCTTTCAGGCAACGGCTTGGCTTGTGTGTCGAATGTAAATCCGTCATATGATCAATGCGGTTGTAGAGGATGGTAACAGTGGTCGATCATGGCGCCCTCGCGTTGGGGTTGGGTGTGGGTCTCCTTTGTTTGGTCTTTCTGGCGCACGCACAGCCTTACGTCACGATCGGCGACGAGGCTACGAGGCTGTGGTTTTCCTTTTTCTCACTCTCCCCGCCTTGAAAGCAACAGAATCCATACGCAAGTCCTCATAGCCATTTAGCTGGTCCCGACCGCTGAGTCCTTCTCCTACTTGTACTTCCCATGCTTCTCTCACGTGCATTGCATTTTCTACCCAAGACTCTTCTCGCAAATGCCCGATCTTCGCAGGGGCGAGGACCACACGGATGCGGATCATGAAATGCGGACGTTGACATCTTACCTCTCGCGCATGAGCAGTCTGGCTTTCAGCCAAAGTACGTCCCGAAGCTCTATAAACTCCGTCAGCGTCAATGGCATATCGCAGGCACCCGTCGTCGTCATGGGCAACCCGTCAGCGGATCTGGACAGTTTCGTCTCCGCCGTGGTGACCGCGTTTTGCTACAACATCGCTGGAAACGGGGCGGTACATTCTAAGAGACCTGCGTATATACCGGTCCTGAATCTTCCGTCCGTCAGATCCAGCGAGCTGTGGCGACTGCGGCCGGAGTTTGGGGTCGCTATACGGTTGGCATCGGGGGATGCGCCTGACGCAGTGGGCAAGGACGGTTCGGAGCAGGGCAAGACTGATGCGTTGAACGAACTCGTCACCATCGCGGACATCAGAGCCGACAAGGGATCGGCGCTACATAGGCTATTTTACGAGTCCAGCAAGAACCCCGAGACGCAGCAGCCGGATCCGACCGCGAAGCAATCCCTCTTTTTGGTCGACCACAACGCGCCCTCGATACCGGGCCTTTCGGACGAAGCCGTCGCCGCTAGATTTAACGTCACGGGCTGCATCGACCACCACGTTGACGAACACTACGTGTCACAGGATGCGGACCCACGCATCGTCACGACCGGGATAGGGAGCTGCACGAGCCTCGTGGTCACGCACCTTCGCAAGCAAGGCATGTGGCCCTCCCCCACGTCCCAGCAGTCTGACGAGCAAAACCAGAACACTCCACAAATCGACCCGGAGGCCCTGTCGCAGTTGTCCAAACTCGCCCTCGCCCCGATCCTTATCGACACGTCGAACCTGCGGGCCAAGGGCGACAAATGCTTCGACACGGACAGGGAGGTCGCGCGGTTTCTGGAATCCACGATCGCGACGAGCACGGCGCAGATACGGGGGGAAACATCGCAGACGCGCTCCGGATCAGCAGGAGGCGGCGCCGAATGGGACCGCGACGCCTTCTTCTCGTGCATCTCCACGGCCAAAGCAAACTCTCTGGACTTGCTGACCATGCAAGAAGTCTTTGATCGCGACTACAAGGCCTGGACCGAGCGCACTGCTACCGCCGGTGGTAACACTAGTACTGGCACTAGCACAGGTAAAGGTAAAGAAATCAACATCGGCATCTCCAGCCTCGTGAAACCCCTCTCCTGGCTCGTCGCCCACGCGGGGGACGCCGACGCTTTGCTCGCCGAGATCGAAGCCTTCGCCACCGACGACGCCCGCCAGCTGGGCGTGTTCTGCATGCTCACGCGCACGGGCGACGGGCGCAAAGAAGTCGCCGTGCTGGTCCTGGACGACGCTGCAAAGGGCGCCGTTGACGCGTTCGAGACAAAGAGCCGCGATGAGCTGCGGTTGGCCGAGTGGGCTGCCGAAGATGGCGGCGGCGGCGGCGGCGGCGGGACCGAGAGACTTGTTGACGCACTGAAAAAGAAGTGGGCTGAGAAGGGCAAATGGAAGATCTGGTGGATGGGAGACACGACTAAGAGCCGCAAACAAGTTGGGCCGCTGTTGAGGGAAGCAGTGAGAGATCTCTAGGTTAGGGATTAGATATGATCTACGGCGACGGTCCGATCTTATTGCGTGTCTGGGGTCTTATGTTTGCTTGGACAACTCTCTTAGAGAAGGCCCCTCATTCGACCTTCTTCGCTAGTCCGTGAGCTTCAATATCATTCGCATCGCCGTCTGGGGTAGTGACTCCGCTCTGCGCCTCTGCGAGTTTCTGCATCTGATCATCCAACTTCCCATACACCTTGGGATTCTTTTTCGGTTCCCCTCCACCAACGCTCTTCATCTGGTATCCTCGCACTCTTGGTCCCTGGCCTGTCTGCTCTGGCAACTCGGATTCATACGCACGACCGAATGTTCTCGTGTCGTCTTCAAATGTCCGGTTCCTGATGCTTTGGCGGACGGCAGAAAAGAAAGCGTCGATGACGGAGAAATTGTGGATTTGCAGGAGTGTCCAGGCGAGCATTTCGTTTGCTTGGAGGAGATGGTGTACATATGCGCGATGATGACGTGTGCAGGTGTAGCAGGTGCATTTGGGGCTCAAGGGACCAAGGTTAGTGGCGTGGGTGGTGGACCAGAGATCGATCCCGAGGGGTTGGTTGAGGGTGTCCGAAGACCCTGGGAAGGCGAATGACAAGGCGATGCCGTGTTCAGAGGACTGTGTCACAAAAGGAACTGTCAAGAGATCGACTCCAACATCGACTGCAGCGAGTACAGCGTGGGGTGACGACGGATCAGTCAGGCAGACCGTCGGTATATCTCGGAGAACGTCTGGCAATTCCACGACTGTCGAGGGTGAATAGACGCACAGCCCAGATATGTGAGATTTGTATTCGTCCTTCAAATCTGCGAAATACAAGGACAGAAGTTGTGGTTCGTGAGGTGGTATTGTCGCAAAGAAAGGAAGTCCTTCGCCTTCCACTGCACTCTCTACGAAATCTCGCAACCACGCGTGTGTTCTGTCCACGCTCTTTTCTATTCTCTTAGCACTCGCTTCCTTTGTGCTGATCAAATCAGCGATGCTGGTTGAAATGTCGGCCTTTAACTTTCTAATCGCCTCATGATACTGTTCAACTTCGAGGAATCTGAATCCAACAGATGTAGAGATCGCAATGGATGAATTTGTGTTGTGGGCCGGACAAGGTATGTTTGGGATTCTGCGCGGGCCGAAGATGGATATACACCTGTCGGATAGGCCAATATACCGACGTAATGGGGACTCTCCGTCTTGTACGGGAGTATTGTAGAATGGCGCATTTGCGTTTGACTTCTCAATGACTATCCACCAACTGTAAGCCACATAAGTCAGCAATCCAGCATGACGCTGAAAGTGATAAACGTACAATCTTCTAGAGGGACATATACGGCGGAGATATTTGTGTGTTTCTGCAGATTATCCTGGGACAGGTGAGGAACCACACCCCGAGAAGTTGGGACGACATAGTGCGGTGTTGATATCGAATGTCGTCCACGAAGTGTCAACTGGCCTAGCCTGCTGGCGCACTCTGGTATGGACGTCTGTTGAAGTACAAACTTGAACATATCCTCCGGTGTTTGAGTAAGTGAGGCGCCACCTACAAGCTCCATGGCGACATAATTTATGGTAACTAGTCAAATGTCTGGCGGATTTTGAAAGGGCAGCATGGGTGAAATGAGTGCTAGCATTTGCCTATACGTCACTAGTACTCTGCCGTAGACACTGGCACGGCGGAGTACAAATGCCGCTGCGAAGCGTATCACAAACAAATAACCTCTACCCCCACGCCCCTTTCTCGCACCAAGCTTCTGTTTGGCATTCTTCGACTTGACATTCAATAACTCTGTCCAAGAGACTGCTCCAGCTTGAACGAAAGGAGTCGAGCAGATGGCAGTTGCTATTACAGGCTCGAAACGAGGTAGACTTATCGTGGTCGAGGGCCTTGATCGCTCCGGGAAGTCCAGCTTGTGCCATCGCCTTCATGAGCAGTTCCAGTCGCAAGGCCTGAAAGCCCGCTATGTCAAGTTCCCAGGTCTGTCTAGTCTAGATATTAATCATATAAGAGCATAATCAACTGATTACTCTCCGCGTAGATCGAACCACGCCTACGGGCCAGATGATCAACAGCTACTTGACTGGCGAAGCTCAGCAGGACGACCATTCCATCCACTTAATCTTCAGTGCCAACAGGTGGGAAGCGATCAAATCCATCTCCTTGGACCTTCAGTCCGGTGTCAACGTGATAGTCGACCGATATTCATTCTCCGGGGCTGTCTATTCGGCTGCAAAGCAGATCCCAGATCTATCGCTTCAATGGGCGTGGGCCCCTGAAATCGGCCTCTTGAAGCCTGACCTGTTGTTCTTCTTGGACATTTCTTCTGCTGATGCTGCCAAACGTGGTGGGTACGGTGCCGAGCGGTACGAGCAAGAAGAAATGCAATCTCGTGTCCGGGGCTTGTTCAAGGATTTGCTCTCCAGGCTTGATGGAATAGCCGTTCATCAAATTGACGCCGGGAAGACGATGGACGAGGTCGCCACAGAAGTTCTCTCAATCGTTCAAGGCTCGACGATAAACGAGGCTCTTACGCCTGACAGCCTGCAGAAACTGGGCCCATTGCTCGACAGAAGGTCCTGAGAAGTAAAGCGGCATTACTGGAATCAGGGTTGCCGTGGTCATCCTTCATCTTCGCTATCTTCTATAACTATTTGGAGCCTCTTAGGATCTTTCGTGCCAGTGGAAGGCTTAACCGTCAGTCCACTCGACACGTTGGACGCCACACTTGTGAGGGAGTCGGCAGATGCAACGGACAGCCTGTCTTCATCGTCCCCATCGTCACAGCTAATCTCAGCGTCATCAACTACAATTTTAGAGGTGAGCGCTTCTTCTTCGCTGTCTAAAGAAACATCGTCTTCACTGTCGGTCTCCATTATTTCTGCTGCCGCGATCGCTGTGCTTTTACCCCTCTTACCCATGAGTTTTTGGATCTCTTTTGCGCCCCTGTTCCTAAGAGTGACCTGCTGCATCAGTTCCAACCAAGCGTGCTCCTGCTGACAGCTCGGACATGTCGCAGTTTCTGGGACGATATTTGAAGTGGACTGGGTTTCCTGCAGAGCTTTATCCGCGAGACATCTGATATGTGACATGCCCTGGCAATCGTGCGTGTGACAGATGACGAAGATGCTCTTGCGAAGATCAATCGTCTCTCTGCATACCGAACAATTCTGATTATCGCCTTCATCGAGAAGAAATTGGCTCTTTTCAAAGACACCCCTGAGTCGGGCGTATGTTGGATCAACACCTTCAACACCACCTTTTCCGATTAAATCGGCTTTCCTCTTCCTTTGGGTCGGGTGCGGCTGAGCAGAGGTGAACTCCACCTCGTCTGGCTGTTGAGGCATGGGTTCTGCCGGGTCAAAACTCACTCTAATTCCCGGTCTGATCTGAGCGTCAACGCGTCCGGACCAGGTCGACCACGAACGATAAACATCCTCACAGAAGAAGCGCACTTCGAGTGGCCACTTGGAGAAATAGGGTGCTCGCAGTAGTAGATGGAGATTTGATAACTTGTCAATCAAAGAAGTTCTTGGTCGCCCCGGTCTCTTGGTGACCTTCCCGGTTTTGGAGGTCTTCGTTCGGGTTGTGGCAAAGGAGAGGCGCTGCTCCGGCGAAATGTGGCGCGTCAAGTGTGCATTATGCCATGCCCACTCAAATTGCAACGCTGCAATATTGGAGGGGAACCCGGCGATGATACAGGCCATTTCCCAAGGACGAAGGCTGGCGCGGGAAGTCCGCACGGCGCCACCTTGAACTCGACCATTGTGCTGAGCAAGACGACGTGCTGGGTCTGGCGAGGAACCGACGTAGAGGCTTGAGTGCCGCACAGTAGAGCGGAGGAGATAACAGCAGTAGAAGGCGGGGATGGGCTTGATATCCATCCTCGCTCTTGATGCGATGTCGCCCGTGGACGTGTCGCTAACTTCAAGAGGCGCTTGGAGCAAAGAGGAGATGAGAATCGCGCTCAGGGACACATGATTGGTGGCAATGGGTCGTCGATCTAATATGGGTAGCTCGGTAAACAAACTAGAGCGTTTCCGTCGATGGGTATGTGATACGTGGCGTATGTGCTTATGTCTAAGTCGAGGGCTGTCTTGTTGTATTTCTGAGGGATATATGTTCACGCAATGTTTACTATTACCTCGTACTGGATGAGGTCGAGTGTGGAGGTCCATACAACTGGAAGCGGGAACAAGCGATCAGTTGGTGCAGGATGAGGGGGCGAGCAAAATGCCGAGATTCTTGGCAAGTTTTGCAGAATTGATCAAGCCTCCGAGTCACCAACGAGGAATGAACCTGCACCAGCCAATCGAGGCTGGGTCCAGGTTCTTTGCCCTTGGAGAGCATTTGGTGCATCTGGAGCCTCTTCTTGATTCTCTCTCGCGCTTGCCCGACGATCCCCATCTATCCACTTGGTACTTGTCTCTCGGCCCTCTCAAACTTATATCCTTCCCTCTCACACCACCACTCGTGCTCTCGCAACTAGAGCCTCTTCTCACTCCGCATGTGAGCCACTGCGCCTTAAAGTGCTCTTTTGGCACTTAGCATGCCGGCCCTCAAGCTCAGAGTTCAAGGCTAATCCTGCGATCCATTCCTTGTCCCTCTACAAGGCTCTCCAAAGGCAAACTCACTTGTCAACCCGCCCTGCCGCTCGTTTTTCTCGCCTTTTCCTGTTCGATATCAATATCAATCAATTTCGAAAGCTCTCATCCACCATCGCGCTCGAGGTCAAACACAGTAGACTAGACGGTCCTCCGAATCCTCCCTGTACTCGGTACAAGTACGATTATCGAATAAGCATATTCCGCAGCTTGAGCGGGCTTTCCCACCTGTCGCAGTCATGGTCGCTCCACCTTCGACTGGTGGTGTTGCACCACCGGCTGCGACTGTGAAGCCATCATCAAACGTTTCGAGAATAAATGGTGCTCCTCCTGCCACCATGGCCACTCCCTCGTTCCCTTACAGCGCCCGCCGTGCAGCACCTCTTGATTTGCGAAC